GATGGATGGATGGATGGATGGATGGATGGATGGATGGATGGATGGATGGATACTTATGTGAAACGATTTCTTTGGTACACCCCTACATCACATGGTTAGCTGGACCATTACCATCAAGGCTTCTTAGCAAATATGTATTTCAGAACAGAAGATGTTGAACATAATCAGACAAATTACAAAAAACCAGACGCTTCCATATATTATCCTCCCTGACATTATATATCTGAACCTTTACTGTTTTGTACTGTTTTAGGCTAGAGCAGCTGTCTTGCTCTAGCGAGTCATTTTTGTGTGCATATGATTCTGAGTTTATGAGTAAATATAGGATCAGAGCAACTTTTTTAAACTCACCTATCCTATCGTGTTTTTCCAAGCTGCAAAAGGTAGTGCGACCATGTTGTGCAAGACCTGTTCATCCGTTCCCCCATGTTTGTTACGTGTCTTTCTTTTGAACGGGTGATCTTAACTGCAGTTTTGTTCTGCATTGCATCTCAGATGTTGTGTGTAAATGACAATAAAGCTGATTCTGATTCTGATTTAGGTTCATTAGGATTCACTAAATTATCTCTGTTAAAAACCTGAATGATGAGATAATTATTTACAACTCCAATTCCACTGAAGTTGGGACGTTGTGTAAAACATAAAAAGCAGAATATGACGATTTGCAAATTCTTTTAGACACATTTTCAATTAAATACACTACAAAGACGAGATGTTTCATGTTTTTTTTGCAAATATTCACTCATTTTGAATTTGATGCTGCTACATGTTCCAAAAAATAAATAAACAAACAAACAAACAAACAAACAAATAAATAAATAAATAAATAAATAAATAAATAAATAAATAAAGATACTGGGACAGGAGCAACAAAAGATGGGGAAAGTTGAGGAATGCTCAAAACATACCTGTTTTGGAGCATTCCACAGGCGAACAGGGAGTAAGTATCCCTGAAAGGCTCAGTCATTCACAAGCAAGGATTGGGGCAAAATGAGTGAATATTTGCAAAAATAAATAAAGTTAATCTGCTAGAACATTAAATGTCTTGTCTTTGTAGTGATCTAACTGAATATAGACTGAAAAGGATTTGCAAATCATCTTTTTTTGTTTTTTTTACGCAAACTTCCATCTTCATTGTAATTGGGGCTGTAGCAGAACAGTAACAAAAGCCAGAAATGTAGTTAAAATAACAAATTTGTAAAATAGTAACTAAAAGATACAATTGGAAAAATAGTAGCTAAAACCAGCAAAATAGTAGCTAAAAGTTATTTTCAATAAAATGTTTAGAATCTTTTTAAATTAACATAATGCTAGCTAACTATCAGATTTTTGGCTGTAACAGCTAAACATAGTAAAATATTGGATAATTACTAAAAATGTCAAAGTTGTAGCCAAAAGATAAACATATAATATTAGCTACATGCAAAAAAAAAAGGCAGGAGAGCAGTAGCTAAAACCAAAACTGTGGTTAAAAGTAGCAAAACAATACAAATATACTGAAGCTGGTTCCAAAGAGTTTTAATGCTGACTCATTCACATAAAAAGTCGAAAATAAAGAACAAGAACATCCAGAAGAGACAGATTGTTAAAACGGTTTGATGTTAACGTCTTTGTAATCAGCAGCTAAAGAGATTAAAAAGGAGAGATTAAACCAGATTCAAACAACATGAGGTGCAAAGAAAGTTTAAARCTTCAGAGGATTATGTAGGATTGAGGATTTGTGAAGGAGCCAGACAATATTTTTTCCTATCAGGACTTCCTGATTATGAGTTCTGCACATTCTGATTCCACTCCACACTAATCCTCCTGATGTAGAGCGACTGGTCGGGGGTAGAAGTCTTAATCCCATCATGTGCTTTTAATATGAGGGCAGCACTTTAACACGTTATTTAGCAATGGGACGTACGAGTTCAACGTGAGAGCAAGAAGACTGATTTGTGTCAATTCAGAGAGCAATCCATCCAACCTGAGCCCAACTGAAGCTAGAAAATACCTTTGAATCAGTTCATTTAACTGGACTGAGAAAACAATTTCTGTCTGAATTAATTAGTTTTTAAATACTCCTCCCAGCATCAGTCCTGGGAATTAGCTGAGACATAGCTGTGACTCTGCTGCACACATCTAATCCCTGTAGGTCAGAAAACAACTGGTTGACAGACATAAAGGACTTCAGACCACCAACATCTGATTTGGGCTCTGTGTACGAGACAGAAAAGCAACAGAAAGATTAGGAGGTTTAAAAAAAGTACAGCCTAGGACTGAGGGAGATGTGGATAATCTGAAATATAACTCCAGATTCAGAGGGAGATTAAAGAAAAAGTCCAAGAAGAAGTTAATTTAGATGGATAACACTATGTGGAGTCCTGAAAACTGATCATTTAACCACAAAWCACTTAATTAATTAAAGATCTGCATCATCAATGTTTCATGTAATTCCAGTAAAAATATATCTTTTCCCACTACAGGCTGTAAAATAATGATCTTTTCTCCATAATAAGATGYAGAAAGCATCAGTTGCTCAAACAGAAGCTCTTATTTCATTGTTTCCTGAAGAATGACCCAGATCTGAGAACTAAATAGATTTTTTCATCTATTTATAGCAATTAGGTCACTCTTTTTATTTGAGCTCCTGTACCTGACACAGGTATGTTCAGTTCTGCACCAGCTCCCTGATGAATGTTTGGAGACACTTTGAGACTAATATTGAACCAGGTTAGCCACAAAGCCATCGTGACAGAAAGAAATCACTGCAGAACTGATTCTATTTATACTGAAAGCAGCTGTAAAAAAGATAAAATGCAGGTTAGGGGACACGCAGTGGTGCACCAGAGCCTAAACACTGTCAGTTTAGACATGTATGATGCTGAGGTACAAGCAGTCCATACGCTCTGATTCATGTGCACCATGTCCCAGGGAGACCCTACTTTTTCAATCCTTCCTGTCCAGATGTGCTGACCTATCATCCTGATTGTTCCTCCTGCCTGAGAGAGAGCTGCCACAGGTGGTCTGCTGCAGGCCAGGGAACCTGTGGGGTCTGGGCCAGACCTGGTGGTGTGCTGGTCATAACTCTTAATTTATCCAGTCCGTCAGACATTTTCCTTTTGGCTCTTTAGAACTAMAAATGGTGCTTGCTGGCTGAAGGGCAGTAGGAGCTGCCCCCTTGGTGACACCATCACCTGGTGTTGGTGCATTTAATGTGTAAGACTCATTTATTCTTCCATTCTCACGTCTCGCATGAAGGAAAGAGCATAACTTTATCCGTTTCCTCCGCTGACACCCTGTCTTATACATTGTCCTCAGTCTGAATCTGTCTAACCTGTGCAGCTTGTCTTGTCTGATTGGTCAGAAGTTTGTGGGCGTGTTTGTTCATGCGATGCAGCATCTGCTTTTTCTGCAGGTCATTTTGCTAAAAATGCTCCGCTCCCTGAATCCAGTTGTTATATAAGGAGTGGCTCATCTGATTATGTTGAGCATGTGAACATGCAGCTGATGTCTATGTTTTCTTTCCATCTCAGTGGTTAACCAAGAAAAAAACAAACAAATCTCCCTCCTCCAGCARCACAAGCCTCTCGTCCAATAACTGATACATCAGTGAGTGAAAATCCCCAACGATCTATCCTGCTGTTTTAGGCTTAGCTATGCCTGAAGTGTGCTACATTGGGAGGATTTATGATRATTTATCCCCACATCTTCGACCCAACTATAACCACTTTGAGATAAAGATGTCAGAAGTGATGTAATAACAGGTCTGTTGTCTCATGTCTTGTTGAAGTCTAAACCAGCCTTAAGGCTTTAAAGCATAAACCCACAATATAAACATAATGGTGCAGATAAGCATGAATCTTATAATCCTCTGATGACATCTATGCTCAAAGACTGGTGTGTCTCAAAATATACACAGCTTACATTGTGTTAAATATTAAGATAAGCTTTATGAAGCAGGACCAAACAGTTTTCACAATAAAATCATTTACATCATGGTAAAAAGTCTCATTTATTGTTGTTGTTTCTTCACCACAGCTTTCAAGGCTAAGATCAAGGAGGTGAAGACAGTAAACATGGACCGTAAGGTGATCCTGCAGAAGAAGAAGAAGATGCTGAAACAAGGAAACCTGACGAAAGGGGACTTAAAGAACCTTGTGTTGTATTTGAGGAATGGTGCAGATTGCCCCTGCCAGCAGCTGGACAACTTGAAAAGCCAGTATCTGATCATGGGCCGCAAGGTGGACGAGCAGTACCTCCTCACAGGCATCCATAAGTGGGACAAGAGCACAGAGTTCAAAAAGACCATCAAAAAAGTCAAGAGCTACAAATGTCCTGCATTCGCTAATGTCTTCAAGTAATAACTCAACCCATGAGCCCAAACCTGGTTGAATCTCATCTGGCAGAAGAACTTGCACAAGCAAAGCCAAACTTGGCTTCCTGTTCTGTTTATATAGCAATATATCTTTGTGTATTTACTGCTTTACTTTGAAATGTTCATTGTTCAGTTTCAGATTAATGTCCTCAGTAATGATATCACAACTTATAGAGTTCAATAAAAGCCCCTCATACTTACTCTGACATGAAGGAYAGATACTCTTCGTTATACAGGTTAGTTCTTCTGCTTTAGTTGGAACATTTTAATGTTTGTAAAGATGTTAAAGAGGCTGTAACTTGTTGATATATACAAGCAGAAAAAGGCAGGGTTCCTCCATTTACAAGTTACAAATATATATTTAAACAATTTAAATGCAAATGAATTGTAAAATCTCATGTTTGATTTTTTTAAAACTTCCTCCTCAACATTCARAGAGAAGCGTTTAGACAAAAAAAACTTTAGTTACAGTTTACCTTCCCATACTGCAGCACTGTTAGTAACATCAAACATCAGTACAATTTCAACCAAAACAAATAAAGCTTGTTTTTTATATTGCTTCTCATGTCTAATTAATATTCATTATTTTGTGCATAAAACCAAAGTGTAGAGGCTAAAGGATCAAAATAAAGCAAAACAAATTATAAATAAAACTGCAAAAACTATTTTATTGCTGTGCTTTAAAAATTGTTATTAAATTAAAGTGTTATTACACCAGATAATCTGAGACCACACAGGTTTTATTACTTTATTAAACTGTGTAGTGTAAATAAAACCCAAACTGCACATCAAGTTTAAGAAAAGTAGGAAATAGGACYAAATTGTACAAGACACTTTGGTTTAATGTCTATTTTTTCACCTGTTTGGATAYTTTACACCAGAGGTCTGCAGACATCTGGAGCCACATGGGGTCCCTCTGCAGTTTAAATGACCTAAAAGAAATCAAAATYATTAATACTTTATTTTAATACCACAATAAATAGTCAATTGTGAGTAACAGCTTGACTCTTCAGATTCAGGCCTGCAACATTCTTGGTCTTGGCTTTCTTTGGTCTAACGTATAAAGATGCTAATACCTACCAACCATTTATTACAGATCAGTATTTTATGTCATAAATTATAGTTTTTTAAGCCACTTCAGTAGAAAGCAGGACTGAACATTAGTATTTTAGCTTCTTCATCATCAGTGACATTTTTAAGGAGAAAAAGAAAGAGAAGGAAAAAAAGTGTAATGTAATGAGAAAGAGTGAAAGAGATTAGAACATTTGTGAAATATATATCGAGAAAACACAAGACAGCACACCCGACATCTTGGTTCTACACCTACAAAAACAAAGATCATATCTATATAATTAAGATTATAGCCTTGCTGAAAGATATATATATATATATATATATATA